GGTTTGAAGCAGACTCGTGGTGATCAAGGAAAGACGGGTGCACCGTGGTAACAGCCTTGTATCCATCCATCTATCTATCTATCTATCGATCGATCTATCTATCTATCTATCGATCTACTTATCTATCTAAATGTTTGTGCAAGCGCTACTGTCACTCTTGTTGTTATCATATCTGTGTTGCTTTTCATGGTTGTATGCACATATGCACACATATGATAGTATATCTATATACACATGCAGCATTCACATAATCATCTTTGCATGTATGCTCACACACATATGTATATATATATATATACATATGTATATATGTATATGCTTGAGCGCATGTGCTTTCCAATGGGCCCTTGCTCTGGGCCCTTGTGGCCAGTGGAGGTCGCGGCTGGCGGGTGCTATCAGCTGCTTTGGTAACGTGGACGAAAGCTTCGCCAGGCGTTCACCGTTCGAAGGGCGGCCGAAGGGCGTGGATCGAGGTTCAATTCGTTGTTTGTTTTTGGGGGTTGGCAGCCAAGAAAAAAATCGAGAAACACACAAACCACATAATAATACTGAAAAAACGGCGAACTGTGGCTTGTTTTTGAGGGCCAAAGGGAAATTCTGTGCGAATCACGAGGACGAACCAGGAGAATGGCTCGGGGTCCGTAAGAAGCAGTGGAGAAGCGCGCAGGTTCTGACCCCATTTACTTCCATTTGCTTAAGAATAGGTTTTTAAAATTCCCCTGTTGGTTTTAAAGGGAATCTATCACTACTGAACATGTTTTGTTTTTTTCCAGGGGTCTGAACCAAATGGAAGTTTACAACCTGCTTGCCTGTGGATTGATCCAGGTAAAGGCATGGCATCCATGGCATCGTAAGCCCCTTCACTGTGTCAGGCTTTGGTGATGGAAGTTGCCAGGCTTTGTTTATGTGTCCCGTTCCTTCGTAGCTTGAGCCTCTTCGAATTTCTGTTGTGCTTGCCCGGTGTGCTAAGATTCATTGCGCCTTTGAGATATTGGCTTCGGGGCAAAGACTCAATGGCGTGCTTTCAATGATCAATGCCATGCTAGTATTTATTGAGAACTGCCCCCCCCTCCCGCCCCATTTTGGAAACTCTTGCTTGGGGGGGGTCTTTTGCTTTTTGCCGACATGGCCAAAGGAGTGCTGCACATCGCCCATCCGGCACGAAACATTCTTAAGCAGCAGCCAGAGCAGCCCGGGCTGACCCGCAGAGCCTTCCAAGCCAAACCTTTGGGTGAATCCATAGCGAAGCGAGAGTTCTGTCGGACTTCCGGAAGTCCCAGATACGATCGATCCATGCAGAACCTGCTGTTCTGCCCAAAGGTTCCAGGAATTGCGCTTCCGTGGTTGGACAATTCTGAACCAGGATTGTTGTGGATGCCCCAAACCTGGCAAGTAGGGGGGACAAGGGAAGGGGAATTCCAAAAAAAGGCCACACTGCGCAGTACCCATGGTTTGTGGTTGTCGGTTCACTGACTTCAAGCCTCGAAGTTGCCAAGGCCATGTCCCTGAGAGTACCTCTCAAGGGCTGGTTCGCATTTTTGAGGCCACTTGCCATCCTCAGCTTGTCATTCATCTCAAGGGCTTCCGGATGTGCCCAATACCTAGCTGGCAAAATATAGGAACATGCCGCCAGATTGGGCGTTGCATGCGGGGCAATCGGCGACGTCCCTAAGACATGGGCGTGTCGTTCTAAAGGATAGCCAAATAACAAAGAATCTTTGGGGTCCCCTTGGCAAAGACATGGGGGTTGATCAAGATTCCCGGCCCCCAAATGACCAAGGGTGACTTTCCCGTTTAGTCGGACATCATCTTTTGAATGGTTTCCCGCCATCGTCCTCCTATGTATCACGGACCCATACTGCTGGACGAACTCCTGCACGCTGAAACCATGGTTTATTTCCATTGTTTGTTGGTATTTACCGGGGGGTCATATCATTCCGTTTGGTTTCTGAACGGTGCGATGTCTGTATTTCGTCCATCAGTACGTGCCGCAGTCGACCGCTGCTTCTTCGTCTGGAGGCTTGTGCCGCAGCGGCCGAACCCGAGCCGGCAGCAAGCCACGAGCCGGCCGGCTTGGCGAACGAAGCTCGAAGCGAGCAATGTGCTTGGCGGTTCCCAGCCATCCGGTTCCTTAGGGTTTGGGTAGGCTTAGTGGGGGAAATTTCCACTTCACCCACCAAAAGCTAGAACAGGTAAGGCGCGATCCCAGCTACAAATGGGCGCGGATATCCGCCTTTTGACTCCTTTACATGGGTGTAAGCCATTTCAACACCAGGTTTTGATTGTGACTCAAGCGAGGTTTTTCCCATGAAACATGGCCCGCCTTCAGCGCTCAGACTCGGCTTGCGTTCTATGATTTCTTTGGCTGGCCGGCTGGTTGAACTCAGTGAGGAAGGCCGCACTTCCGTTTTCGGACGGTTTCGCATTTGCTTTTCTCTCAATTTGTCCGAGTTGGCGCGCCGAGAAGCTGTTGCACTGAGACCATTTTGTCGGCCGGCAAGCTGAGTTTCAGATTGAGCGGCCAAGGTTTTTCTCAACCATGGGCCGATGGGAGGACCCAGGATTTCGTCAACTCCTTCTGTATGAAATGGGGGGGTATCTTGAAGGGACTCTTTCACTCCTTTGGCAGGAAAAATGCATTCCCTATGAATCTTAGCAAGGTTCTGCTGCTTGGATCAGGGGTCGAAAAGAGATGGCTCTCTTCCTCCACTGCTTGCGGCCTTAGGTCCGGCCAGCGGAAGCACGCGGGAGGCGAACAATGGCTACGGCTCGAGGCGGGCATTCCGTTGAAACCCAACGCTTCAAGCAGCTGCCTGGCCATCTCCAATTTCTGTGACGCCTAGTCTGCTCCAGGATGCTTCCCCAGAATTAGCTCCATGCTTTTTTTGCTTCCCGGGGCCCCCGTTGTTTTCCTAGAACCAGGCCAAACATATGCTTTTGCCCGCGACTTCGCCACAGTGGTTCTTGTCTTCTTCAGCGCGAACGTTGCGGGAGGTCCTTCGGTGGCTGTTTGCGGCCCCTAAATGCGGAGGGTTTTCAAGAAGATCACGAGGGAGGCGTTTGGTTCCTTCTGGTTTCGGGGATGTGGAACTTGGCGTCAGACTTTACCATGGCTTTTAGCTTGCCGCATGGTGGAGTTTCCCACATTGCCGCGTTTTCGCTTTGAGGGTTTCCTGAAAAAAGCGGTATCCTCAAACACTTGACATCATCCTGGAAATAATGAGGGGGCATAAACGTTACCATCATAAAGTGGGTGACCAGGACGCCAAGGGGTGTGAACACGGGGTGCACGCTACCACTCCCAGACAAGCTCCGAGGATGCCGGCACAGCACGCCGATGCCTTCCAAGTGTTCGTGACTTCTGCAAACCCAAGGCCAACTCAAAGATGCAGAAACGACATGGCAGAACAGAGTATCCCAGTAAAACAGGATTGGCAGTTTCAAATGTCAATCCGGGGCAAGGCAGCTGGGGAAGGCAAGCCTTGGTTTTCCTATGTTTTCCTTCGGATGGGGGAACAGGCGAAATGCAGGCCGTGTTTCCTTGGTGTTTGTTTGAAACCAGGGGACCAGGCCCAATGCTTCCAGCACCTCATGCAAGTGGGTTCCGCGCGTTTCTCCATCCGTTGTTCCTTTGCCAGGGTCACTTGGCATAGCAAGCCATGGGGAGGAGGGGCCGTACCATGGACACTTGGCTACTTTGCACCAGGAGCCCAAATGGAACTGCATGCCAAATGAGGTTCTCACCAAATAGGTCCCAGCCGCCCATTTTTTTTGGACGTACCCAGGCCAATGCGCTACTGCAGTTGAGCCCTAGCCGGGCAGCGAAAATGAACGCTCGCCTTGGCGTTCAATTGGAGTGCACATGGGGGGGCCAGATTTCGGGCCCCGTACCCGCCAGAATCATCAGCAAGGTTTCTTCTGATTGCTTTCCTGGGACCGTGCGCGGCGTGGGGGCCACATGTCTTTTTGCATTCCCCGATGGACCGTCAGGGCGAGCGATGGGAGCGATGGTGGCATGTGGTGGCCTGTTTCTGAAATCATCCAGAAAGGAGGTACCCATTTGAGACAGACCCATCTCAGGCTTGTTTCTGGGTTTCAGCATGCTTTGCGCACGACGGATCAAGAGACAGGCCCACCGCAACGCAAAGCCACGGCTGCAAAGGCTCAATGGCTGCGCGATCTTGCTGCCGTTCTCAGCGAATTATTTTTTGCGAAGCGGCTGGTGCTTGAAATATTGTCTTACCCCCAATCGGTTGTTTGGTTTGGTGGTTTGGACGTTAGGGGGTTCTTTTTGAACCCCAAATCCCCAAACCAGGGAGAGCCTGACACTAGAGCGGATCAACCCCTGATGCAGGAGCTCGGCGTTTAATTTTCGGAGCCGGTCCTTGAAGCAAAACCGCGCGCAGCTGCCGGCGGAGTAAGGAAGGGTGGCCCCACCTAAGCAACGAATGGAATCTGGCCAATGAACTTGTGATCTCACAAAGGGGACCTCACCAATGATGAGTTCGGACGTTACTTCCAGACAAGGGACCCTTCGCCACGCCTCCACTTTTTGTTGGGCCGACCAGAGACATCATGCATCGAGGGGGGAAGCCTATGCTTTGTGGGAGTTTGCGTGTGGCAATCGATGAGGGAGTGTGGATGCGTTCGTGCCGTGCGGCGGGGCAGCATGCAGTTGTGTGGCAATTGAGCTTCCCCAGGGTTGTGTGTGTAGTGTGTGTCTGTGCGCGCGTGTGTGTGAGTGAGGGAGGCATCCATGCCTCAAAAACGGGTGAGTGGGTTCGGAAGAAGGGAAGGTACCGGCTGTGCTCTGAAGCTTGGCGGCGGCTTTCTGGGCTCGTAGGTCTGCGACCCCCCGGCCCCCTGGCCCTTTGGCCCCGCCCCCCCCCCCGCCCCCCCCGCGCGTGGGCAGAAGTATGATGCAGGCCACCCAGTTCTCTCCAGAGTGCCATTGGAAAGCAGAGGGTGGTGTTTCTTCGGGGTGCGGTGCGGGTGACGCGATGGATGGCCCAGCTTCGCCGGCGGGGTCCTCTGGTTTTTGGAGTCGAAGTGGCGGGAAAGCCAACCACGCTCCCTCGCCGGACGAGCTTTGTTGGGAGTACTTGGGTTGTTTCCGTCCCCGATTTCGAGTTCGGATCGCTTGTCTTTGAACAAGTATGTTGACCCCTGGGAACAAAAACTTTCCCCCTGTAATAGTGGGAGTTCCTTTCTATTGAGGGGATGCTGTTTTCCAGGAGGGTCCTGCTCAAGGGATCGCACGATTCCATCCCCCAACCATCAGGAAGAAAAGGTTGCATCATCAGTGGACCATTTCAGAATCACCAACAACCCTCGTCATAGCAGATGTCCACCACAGGAAGCTCATCTAGGTCCCTGAACCCAATTTAGGGCCCCCAAAAAATTGGCGATGAAACACATGGAGCTGCCCCTTTCAAAGGGAGATGCCCTCCTAAAAGCTGGCGAAACCCAGCACAAGCGGTACCGAAAGGTCCAAGCGAGGAACGAGCTGCTGAAAGAAGGCCAATCATCTGCAGAATTAGTGCTTGCATCCGTCATGGCGCTCCTAAGAATCCAGGCAAAGCCTTCTTCAGTCCCTCGGTGACCGCGCAGAAGAGCGAATTTTAGTTTACGGGGGAAATGATGAATAGCAGGGGGGTCCTGCTTAATAGCACTGGAGTTATATAATATAGTAATCAGGGCTTGACATTCTCGAAAACATCTTACTCGTGATGTGCGGCGGCAAGCCCCTATATGGCTAGAGCAACTCCTGGGCATTCCAACCACCGCGATTAGTAAGCGGTTCAGTCAGCCCTTGAAGAGTTGTTTTTGTGCGTGTGTGTTTTTTGGGGTACCCTTTTTGGGGTTGGTTTAAAGGGACACCAAAAAAGACAACACATTCTTGGGGTCCCCTCAAAAAAGGCCACACCCAAGAAGGGTTGGGACACCGCTTCCCATTCCTTCGGCGGCACGCGGCACTCTTTTCCCCTTTCCTTTGGGAGGAGGGGCTAAAAACCCCCCAACCCCCGCAGAACCCAGGCCCCCCCCCCACCCCGCCCCCGAGGAATCCAGGGCCACGGAGCTGAGCCAAAGGCTGGGCGCCGCGCCGCCCATTTGCAAGTACAGAGGCCTGCCTGCCGGGGGGGGGGGGTCAGGTGGGGAGGGGGGAGTTGGGGGTTGCCGGGGGGGTGCTGGGTCCCTTTTAAGACACCACCCGTTGGTGTTTCTTGTTTGACAGGAAGTGCCCCCAGAGAGGTTTTCTTGTTTGTTTGTTTGCCTTTTGGTTGCCGCGTTGCCAGCCCAAGAGGGGTAGCGTGAAAAAAGACACCCTGTTTACATCACACTGTCCCTGGACCATTCTTCCCCTAAAGGTCAGGTTCCATGATTGCTTTCCCAGGGGCACGGGTAGCATCATCATCACCTTTAAGCAGCCATTATGAAACAATCTTTTGGTCCCAATGGGAAGTGGGCTCGGGTCATGTGCCAAGTTTTTGGTAGCTGCGGAAGAACGCAACGAGTTGTTTCAAACCCCCGCAGGAGCGCACAAGGGGAGCAAATAATTATTTAATTGGTCCAAGATGTTTGCCGCTCATTGACCCCGTAGAGTCCTCACTCCAAAAGGGTGGCTTGTTTTCTTTCCATTGGACAAGTGAGCTAGAAAGTGAAGGCCATTCGGCTCTTCCTGCGCTGTGTCACGTACGCGCAATTGTCCGGTCTTCCAAGGCTGCCCTCTTTTGATTCTGATCAGGCGCTGCGAAGGCCAGAACCTCGAAACCCAACCGAAAGGTGCACCACCAAGGGAGCCAGTCATGGTGTCTCCTTTTGCATTCTGGTTAGGGGCATGGCCCTTCGGCCATGGCCTTTATCGTCTTAGATCATCTCCGCCAGAGTTTTGGGGAAAAACGGCTACTTGACACAGGGGCCGGTCCACTTGGCAGTCGCTTGCCAGCATCGGCATTTTGGCTCGGACATGGACGGGACTCCTGCTGGATGGTCTAGCGGTCCTCTAACTAGAAAAGAGACAACCATCACTCCAAGTTGATGCGCGGTGGCAGTTCCAAAGCAAAGCGACAGAAACGAGCTCACAATCGCAATGCCGGAAATTGGCTTTGACATGCCACTTCAGAGGGGAAGCTTGACAAGAAGGACAGGAGGGTGAGGATGCAAGGATCCGGATACGATTCTAAGGTCACGAGCCATACAAAGCCCGCCCCAAGTTCAATTCTCTCCTGCCTGGGCTGGTTGCCTGTCTAAACTGGACAGCCCCTTTTCTACACTTCCAGGGCGCGCCTGCGCCTGCCCATAGTCATGGGATGGCCCGGCTGTCGCTGCAAGTGACCCTCCTCAGCGGGCACGCCGTGACGCTGCAGGCGAGTCACCATGACACGGTGGACGACCTCAAGAAGGACATGGCACCATAAATTTGGGGCTCAACCGCGAGCTTCTGAAGTAGCGCTGGGGACGGTTCAACACTGCTCCCATTACACATGTGATTTCCCCACAGGCTATATATATATACATGTGTGTGTGTGTGTGTGTGTGTGTGTGTTAATGCGTATTTCAGGGGTCCTTTGATATCCTTTTGTGGATGGTTTCATTCCGGAGCCTCTTTCTTTGACTAGCCCTGGCTTGGGGCTTAGCCCCGGCCAGGGGCTGGTGGGTTGGTGGGTTGGTGGGTTGGTGGGTTGGTGGGTTGGTGGGTTGGTGGGTGGGTGGGTGGGTGGGTGGGTGGGCGGGTGGGCGGGTGGGCGGGCGGGTTGGGTGGTTGGTTGGTTGGTTGGTTGGTTGGTTGGTTGGTTGGCCACATCCTTAAAGCAACCTTAAAGCCACTGCTAAACCAGCCGCGCACCTATCGCAAATCAGCTCCAAGCCAACCCAAACTGACTCGTCGTCAACCTGAAACTCTCCCAACAGCATCCTGGATATCAGCCTTTTTTCCGAGCCTAAATGAACCCCAAACAATCCCAAGACCCGCCCTCGATCAGACCACAGCAAGCCCAACACTCCCCCGAAACCAGCCCTCTGCAACTCTGAGCTGCCACCAAAGCCAAAGGCAGCCGAGGCCAGTGATGCTGGGGATGCGGCCAACCACCCCGCCCCCCAGTCTGGCCAACCAGCCACATAGGGAGGCCGGGGCTAGTAAGACGCCGGGGCTAGTAAAACAAGACACCTCGTTCGTTCCCGAGCGTCTCCTGCGACAGCAGGCCTTCAAAACAAAAGCCTTTGAAGTACTATCGATTCATCAAGCCTTTGAGGATGGACAGCCCGAGCAGAAGAGAAGTCGGTAGAGCAGCAGAAGACGACAAACAAGCAATGGCCTTAGAAGACGTTCCACCACCAGGGTTCCCGGAAAGGGAACCGGCTGACAACACCCCCTCCCTGGCAGCAGGATTGACCTTTTTCTCATCGACGGCCCGCTCACAATTGTGTTTGGCTGTCAAAACGAGGGACTCTTCTATGTTACCCCCCCTCCCCGTTTTCCTCTTGGTTTCTATTTAAAACAATACAAAAGGGCAGGACATCCTCAAAAAGCGCCAGACCAAATGGTTGGTTCTTTTGGGTTTCCGCGTCCGCCCATTTGAACTTGAACCCATCGCATTCCAATTCCCTTGGCCAATGCATGACCTGTCCACCTTTGCAGGGGGCCAAAAGGAAGGCGTCGAAACAATACGTGCTTAAACCATGGAAGCTGGAGGTGGGTTCAACCAGTCCTACACCAACCTCCATTGCCATGGAACACGTGCAGGGCAGTGTGGGGGGGGGGGGGGCTGTTGATCTTTCTCCCTTCCAAGTTTTGCTGGAACCAAAACAACAAATGGAGATTCCTCCAAACATAGTGGTTGTTTGGCTTCCATGTTCCCTGCAGGAGTGCAAAGGGAAGCCTTTGCGGAGACGAAAGGGAAGCAACCCGACTGGGCCTTCAATAGATGGGCTTCAGGGCCCTTGACTTGCGTAGGAAATCACCCCTGGTTTTGGGGGGAACCTAAGAATGCCCTTTCAGGAATGTGCAAGGGATGCGTCATAGAGTCATACTGTGGATGGACAAAATCCCACCTAAGAAAACCTGGGATGACCGACGAACGTTATGGTTTCCACCATGGTTTCATTTCGTGGCGCGACTCGGGATTTCGCAGCCATCCACCGTAGGTCCTACTGAGAGTCAGAAAGTCGACCACCCCACCCCCCTCCCCCCCCTCCCCTCCCCCCCCCCCTGCCTAGGAGGCGCAAGCGGCACTGCGCGTGGCTCTGCGCTGCTTGGCCCGTGGCCAGGTGCTGCCGGGCAAGCTGCGCCTCTCGGAGCTGGGCCTCAGGCCCGTGTGACGATGCCGCGAGGGTTGCAGAACGCCATGCCACTTCAAGAAATCCGGTGGTTTCTTGAAGTGGCTCCCAGCCATCCGGTTCCTTAGCCTTTTGGCTTCTTGGTGTTGAGTGGGGGATTTCCATTTAACCCACTAAAAGTTAAGCTTTTAGCGGCGGATCTGAGGACAGCCCAGGTTTGGTTGAGCGTTTGTCTTTGGTTTGAAAGTAGAAGGCACCCAGGTCCTTTGGAAGCGACCCAGTCAGGCAGGGGGACTCCGTCACGGGCCTGGTGCGGCCAACAGTCGTCACCTCCAGCAGTCGCGCTGCGGCATTTGCGCTGGTGACCTGTGAGGGCACGGTGGCGACCTGGCTTGGTACTTGGTTGGTACAACCCAGGTCAGGCAAGCAGGTTGTAGCCGGGTTTAGCAACAAAGCCCCAGATACCACCAGACAAAATAATTACAAGTGGGGTGAACAATCCAGTGGGCGCTTGGGCGGACGCAGGTTGGTTGGCTTTCTGGTTGGAGACTAAAGCTGAAGGTCGACTCGTTTGCAGCGGAGCCAGCAGCTCACAGCTCAGGTGTCATGGGGCGATGCGGCCCGGGGCGGCGACTGCGGGGCGTATTTGGATGAACTGCGAGATGTGGAAGAGGTCGCTGCGACCTCGAGCGCTTTCGCGGCGCGGCGCGGCGATGGGCGGGTGGTCACTTGGGGCGACCCTTCCTTTGGAGGCAGCAGCCAGGCGCCTGAGCTGCACGCGGCGAACTGCCTTAAAGCCTCAAGTCTGAGGGTTTCGCCATGGTTACCCTTGCGGAGATGGGACTTTGGAGCCTGCTTCTGTGGTACGACGGGAGCCCCCTTCAAGTTGGGAATCCTGTTTCTGTATCACAGAAAGGTATGTTGGCCGTGTATCTTTATCCCACTTAAGTAGGGCATTGTTAGCAAAGATAGCGATGGTTAACGGGAACCTCCCCAATGGCCAAACTTACCCCTTGAACATCCAAGCATGTTGAGTTCCCTCAAGAATTCTTTGTGCCCCGCTGGAAGGATCAAGCATTCCTTTTCATGTTGGTTCATCTTGGATGGACAGGAGAATGAAGGTATGCCATCATATCCTTCCCCTTCCTATCTGATAGGTTACCTCCTGCATTTCAAAGGATTCTAGAGACTCAGGAAATGGTTGGGAGAGGAAGGGCCATCTCTTGACATCTCTTTCACTCACAAATCTGGAGATGATGGTGACGTGAGGACATGTCTAAGAGAGGGGTGTGTGAGAGTGAGATGTGTCCACGCTGTTCCTCTCTTTGTACCGCCTGATCTAGAGACATCTCACTCATCTCTTCCTATCACCTGTCCATCAAAACCAGCCTACCGAAGGGAGCTACAGGCTGGTGATGAGGTGAGGAAGTGGCCCTCATCCCTTCGGTCACTTGAAGATAGACCCGGCCGTAGGAAGAAATAGGCTGGAGGAACTTGGAAGTGAGAATGTGTTAGAGAGTGAATGGGAAGGGCTATGAAATGCCATCTCTTTTCATTTGGCATTCCTCCCATTCACGACATTCCTCTTCCCTTCCTCTGTTCCATCTCCCTCGCTTACGGCAGGCAAGCCAAAGAAGCTTTGAAATTGAATACCCCCTCTACATAGGGGGCACCTCAGGGTCCATTAACCATGTTGGTTTCAATTGGCACCCACCAGAAAATGAACCCTTCCAGGGTTAGCTTTGAAACTCCCAAACTATAGGGAAACTGTTGCAAGTGAATTACTTTGATTTGATGTTCAAGCCACTTAGCAAGAATTCAGTCAGGATACAACGTCGGTAGTGGAGCTTAGCTCGCTGACCTTGGTTAACACCAAGTGGATTGCACATCCAAGCAGGCTGCGAATACGCCGCCCTGACATTGGGCAACCAGCCCTTAGCCTTGAAAGCCTTGGCAGTTTTTCACAGGTGGCCCAGACCCATCCTCTCTTTCCGAGGCAGGTGGCTCCCTGCCATTTAAAACGTGAGCTTTTCCACCCAGCCAAAAAGAAGGCACATGGTTTCCCGTTCGTTTTTTTGTTTTGGGAGAGAGGGGGGGGGGCAGATGTTTTGAGACCTTCTGCTTTGGACCGGCCCGGCCGAAAAAGGCGGTCCAGCACCAGCTCACGGAGGTCCGCCAGCTGTGCGGAACTGCGGGGGCCTTTGCCGCGTTGACCGCAGGAGGGCGGGTGGTGACCTGGGGCATGGCGGCCTGCGGCGGCGACAGCCGCAGGGTGCAGCCGAGGCTGGTGGATGTGCAGTGCCTCGAGCAGCAATTCTTTGGACCTGGGCCGGGAAGAGGAGTTGCCGTGTTTTTTTTCTTTTTCTTTTTCTCCTCTTTTTTCCGCCTGCGTGTTTTTTGTTTGTTGGCTCCTTGAAGCTTTGCTTGTTTTGGAGCTTGTGTTGTCCAAGCTCTTTGGGGGGGTCCTTAGAAGCATGCAATTTATTCTCTTGGGGGGGTGAATTCGAAACGAGGTGTGCTACAACACCTCATTTTTCAACAGCAACAGCAGGTTCCTGCGGGGTTCTGCCCAGTTTCCGGGCCATGTTTGTTATTTTAGTTGCCTGGACCTGCAGCCGATCAGACCCATAGTGACAGATGTCAGATAAATTTGGATGAAGCTGGGCATGGGAAGATGAGGCAGAGAAGTCATCAGTTGCCCCAGTCCCATGCATTCTTTACATTCCTGCTTTGCAAGTTTGATTTTGGGGACACTCATAAGGTCTTTTGTTTTATGGTGGCTGGAGGTTGAAGTGGGATGATCTGGAGATTGCGGCTGATATTGCCAAAGAGCTGCAGAAACATCGGAAGTAGCTACCAATGGTGTAGATTGAGCTTAGAGGTGCAGTTTTGCCTTAGGCAATTGCATTGTCCCCAAGAATCCATAGTATCAATTCATGTCTCACCATTTAGATTGTGTTGCCGAAAAGATGTTTCTGGCTTCGTTATTGTCGCAATTTTACCGTCCTGGTTCGGACAAGTGCCGTGCTTCGCAGGCAGCTCTTCGCTTGCGGCACCGCCTTCGCAGCCCTCCTTGCAGACGGCGCAGTCGTGGCCTGGGGCGACGCCAGGTTTGGCGGCAGCAGCGCCGCGGTGCAGTGGCTGCGAGGGGTCCGAAGCATCGCCGCGTGCGACGGCGCCTTTGCGGCCCTTTGCGAGGACGGAGCTTTGTCAGAGGCGTTTTCGGGGAGATGGGCCAGGGCCAGGTGGGAAACACCAGCTTTCCGGTTTAGGAAAAGGATCCTTGCGTTTGTGGCCTGTTGTGAGAATTTGAATGGCATCCAGGACGGGAGGGTTGTCACTTGGGGCAACCGCGTGCGTGGCGGGGACAGCTTCAACGTTCAAGACCAACTGTATGGCGTGCTGCACATCTCCGCCACCGCCGGGGCCTTTGCTGCCTTGCGGGACGATGGCAGTGTGGTCACTTGGGGAAGCCGGGCTGCAGGGAATGATGCGAGCTGCGCAGAGCTGACGGGGGTGAAGGAGATCCGAGGCACGCACAACGCCTTTGCCGCTATCTTGGGAGATGGCAGCGTGTTTGCGTGGGGGGAGAAGATGCGTGGAGGTGACTGCAGCCAGGTACAGGATCAGCTGCGCGGGGTGCACGAGCTCTACAGCAACGCTGGGGCATTTGCAGCCATTCTGGAAACAGGCCGAGTGGTGACCTGGGGCGACCAGGCCCACGGGGGAGATAGCTCAGCAGTTCAGTCTCAGCTTTTGGATGTTCAGACCATTGCCTCCTCCGCGGGTGCTTTTGCGGCCGTTCGGTCAGATAGCTCCATCATTACATGGGGGCACTCAGACTTCGGCGGTGACAGCACCTCTGTGCAGACGCAGTTGCAAGGGGCATCTTCAGGCTTTCGTGCGGCTGCAACTCAGCGATGTCCGTATAATTGCTTATAAAGCCCCATGTTTTGCTTGCAACATTTGGATAGTCAAGATGATGTGGGACTCAAGTTGTGTCAAACGTTTTTCTAGCTGTTTCCAGGTTGGACCGGGATACTATGTTCTTTGGACTCATTCGGTAGCAAGTCGCGTTTCACTCCCCAGGACCCAGTGTTCGCGTGGAACGTTTGTCTTTTCTTTTTCTCCCGGACTCGGCAACTCATCTGAAGCAGCATGAGGGAAACCAGGAAGAAACCACCCATTTGGCAATTCCCTTTGCGACAATACCGTGGATGGTTGCGAAAGCCATTTCGCCCACGAAATGAAATCATGGTCAAATGTCATTCCGTCGGGTTTTTTTTTCGTTTCGGCGCGCTTTTTTTCCGCCTTTCGCACCCATCGGCAATTGACTTGATAAATCTTGGGGCGCCTGGTGTCCGTGAGAGCAGCGCGCCATCCAAGTCGAATGGATCGCAAGTCATGGCCGCATACTTTTCCACCAGTTGGATGGTTTTTTCAGGGGTCATTCCACTTCTGATTCGCTGCATCTCTCGCACCGATCGCAAGTCATGGCCGATACGTTTCCGGCGAGTAGTGCTCCGAGCTGGAGTCGGCCGTTCGCCAGGCTTCATCCCGGCCTCCCGTGGCCTCTGTGGGGAGACTTTCACTCAGCAGTGCCGGACGCTTAGGTTGGGGCGAGAAGGGTGGGGTGCTGAGTTTCTGTCCGGGGCTCGAAGATATGTTTCTTGTGAAACCTTTGGAGACCCGGCCCAAAGATGGAACATGCCCAACGACCCAGTTCGGAGGTGAGGCCGTGTTTGATAAATGGAAGTGCGCTGCTTCGAAGAGTTGGTCACACCCTTGAGAGAGTGGCTTTGGCTTGAGGCAGCCAAAGCCTGGGGTCAGAACAGTGGGTGAGGAAGTTCCAGACCAATCGCCACAGTTGGCTTCGACAAAAGCACCCTTTTTCGACGCCAGAGATGGGTGGCACTGAAGACGCACAAGAACTTTCCGCCCAACCGGCAATGAGACTGTTCGCCTCTTTCTTCAATTTCAGGCGCGAAGCTAGGCAGGAGAAGGTCGTGAATCAACCAGACAGCGAAGTGGAGCGAAGTGGCTCGAATGCTGCGGTGGTGAATGTCGTTGGGATGACTCAAATTGGGGAGCCCTTACCCCAAAAAAATACTCGGGGAATCCGAGTAGCTGGCAACTTGCACGGGGGAATTCAGTGAGCCCTTGACAGCTTTGCCGGTTCCAAAGCCGCTGAACATTGCCGCGCTCGAGATGGGAATGGTCTTGCTGGTGCGATAGGAAATGACCAAGCCCGGGTGCTGGGAAGGAGCCGTTTCTCCCGAAGAAAGGAAGCCATAGGATGGATGGTTTTTCTTGGTCATTCCATTTCCCTGCTGAGAACCAGTGAGTTGTTGTGCTCTCCAAGTCATGCCACCGGGACTCAACTCCTCCACTCAATCGCATGCGCGAAAACGTCACAGCTCTCTACGGGACCTGCCCTCATTTAACCGAGCACCTGTGCTTGATTCCGAGCACATGTCTTTCGGATTCGATACTAGCCCCAGTAGTGCCCTTTTTCCCCTTTTTTTTGGGGGGGGGAGGGTTCCCCTACTAAAATAGGCTAAAGAAAAAAGGGTACCCTTATTCTAACCTCTCTACTGGAGGATGTGGGATACCTCGCTTTTGAAGAAACGAGTTTCCCCAACTGGGCCTTTGACTTTTCCTTGGGCTTAAGCTGGAAGCAGGAAGCCCGTGACCAGCACGCGGCAATCAGTCCAATTTCTTGGATCCCCCGTGGAATGTAGTCGGACATGAAATGTTTAAATGTTCGCGTGTTTATCCATGCCACATGAGCACGGATGAATACACCTGAGGTTCACTGAAATTGTCCCATTTTAGAGGCCATCCTTCACTTTCGGGAGGAAAAGAACATATCAAAGAATGAGATGGATTCATCGGGGTTCTGCTTCAATCCGGGGTTGTGATTTTTTGTTTCCCCCCGGGGTCCCCACACAAATTTCTAAGGGTAGCTTCCCCATTCTTTCCAGGGATCCTGCTTTCCAGAAAGCCAAACAAAACCATGGGAAACAGCGATCGGTTTTCGAAAAGAACGATGGTTGAACAGAATGGAAAAGGAATCAACCCCACAAAAAGTCAGTCGCGGGCCCAAGAACGCCACTGGCCTGAGGCTTCAGTGCGCGGGAGACTCTTCGCCAGAGCGGAGGTGGCATCCCCCTAGAGGCGCCGGACCGGCGCGGTGGGTGGATGGGTGCACCAACCGTGGCCAGAATGGCCAGAATTGCGGCTGGAAATGAACCACGAAGCAGAAACAAAGCAAAGTTTGCCGGGAGCCAGTTCTGGTTTATGGCATCCCTGGGATTCCCATTTTTAAAATGGGTTTCTAAGATTTTGAGGGGCGCAAGAACTCCTTGGCATCAGTTTCAACCTAGCCAGGGAGCGGCTTGGCTGCTTTTGCTTCCGCTTACCTTCCTCTTCCACTTTGTTGGAGAATGGCAGCTTCCTTGCTCAACGATAGTTGAACACGTGCTTTGGGCGAGCAATCCACCCAGGATTGCCCCAATCTCCATACCATTTGAGTCTGCTTTTTCCCCAGGTTGGGAAAACTCGACACATGCAATTGGAGGCCTCTCACCCCGCCTTCCGTCAAGATGGGGCAAATCCATGCAGTAAAGCCAAGCTCCTGCCAACGGGCCAACAAATCGGCACAGGGCAACCTTGGGTGTTAACCCCATTCAGCAGAAAGGTCAGCATGGTCATGCCTGGGGCAGGGATCTTCCATTTGCTTAAGAATATTTTTGTTTTCCCTTCTTGGTTTTTAAAAGGGATTTATCACTACTGGATTTTTTATTATTTATTTTTTCCAGGGGCTTTAACCAAATGGAAGGGATTGATCGTCTCGACTCTGGACCTAATTGCTTTGACGAAGCCCCTGTGACCGAGGCGTGGACCAGGAATGGCGTAGGCACCGCAGGCGTCGGCTCTCGGGCGGTGGGGAAAACGCGTGCATCGGTGTCCCTAAGCAGGCCAAAGGCCGAGCCAAGATTTCACACTGCGTATAAGATCTTTCTGCTAGCAGGGATGTGCGCCTCCATGACAAAGGGGGAAGGCCCGGTCGTTTTTTCGAAGACCTTGAAGGCTAGTACAAGGGTCACGGTAGCCCTCAGCTATGGTGACACATAAGAATGGCTGAGGGAGTACACGTGAGGTGCTAGGACTCTCAACTGCCGAAGCGGAAAGCCTCTAGGCACAAAATATTTATAATGGCAAAACCAATTTCAGTCATGGTTGCAGGCTGCAGGGGTGACATTTCCGTTGTTTAGCCCCTATTTGCTGGCTCCCTCCGGGCAGCCGGACTGAGCTGTGGAATTCAGGTCAGCCAAGCCGGGTCCCTGTTTCGTTGGATTTTGGGTGTTTCGATAGGGACCATCTAGGAGCTGTATTTTGGTTTGCCCTTTGGTTAAGATCAACATAGGGAAACCCATGAGTTTCCTATGGGTTGTTTTGCAAATGGGACCCCCCCCCCAGTTTCACGGGGTACCTAATTCTGGGACACCTCGATTTGCGTTGCGCATTGCAGGCCGCATCGTGTGCGGCGGCCGGGGCTTGCGGCCAGACTTGCAGGAGATATGCGAAGCATCGCTCCTCTCCGTATGGGTTGAGAGGAAGGTCCTCTTAAAGCGTTGGGAGGTGTACCCTCCCACCAATGAACATGGAGCCTGACAGGGTCTTCCAGGACCCTGTCAGGTTCCATCCAAATTGGTGGGAGAGGTAACCCTTATGAAGAATGACTTTTCAGTCTCAGTCGAAAGTTGGGCTTGCAGTTCCCATGCCCCCAGGTTGAACACACGGCTCACGGATAGGAAGGACAAGCCTCCAACGTCACTGAATTTAGCAGTGGCACTTCACGGGTTTCATGGTGGCGTAAAAACCCACCAACAGCCGCCGCAGAGGGCGCGGGTCTAACCCTGATGCCACACGGCGGTGGATTCAGACTAGGATTAGGGACCCCCCCCCTCCCGCCCCCCCATTTGGAGAACAACCCGCAGGGGAGATGTGCGCTTGTTGTGGGCGTTCTCGTTTGAAGCTCGGCATCTTGATTGGGGGCCTTGTTCGACGCCTGGCTGAAACAGCGGCCTTCGGCAGCGCGCGCTTCTGCCAGTTTCTGCATCAGGCACCCGGGTGAAGCCACAACGTCGGTTGCAGGGGGGGGTCAGCCGTGCCATCTACATGGGGTGAGTTTGCGGAGAGCCCTAGAAAACAAAGCCAGTAGGTTGCAACGTCCATACATACGGGGGGTCCCTCCCAAAACTCTTCATTGCGACCTTTGGTTCTCGGCAACTCCAGGAGCAGCACACGGTGCAGGAATGCCGGGCAGGGCTGGCAGCAGCCCCAGGGAACTCCAGTCGGACGTGCGCGTTTCCCTCCCGTGAATGCAGTGCAGCATGTGGGTCTGGTCTTTTGGGAGTTGGCACCCGCTTTTTTTGGGGTAGGTGTAAAGGGAAACCAAAAGGAACAACATTTTGGGGGGTCCCCTAAAAAAGACACACCCAAGTGACAGGCTCGTTTGAAGTGGCATGCCATTTGCGCCACACAATCTCCGTGTTCTAAGGACGCGTTGTTGACTGCCAGAGTGCGCCCCTCAGTGTAGAAGAGGGCTGAGCCGTGTGCGTGTCAGTCCGTGTGAGCTTTGGAATCTCTAAACGGGTAAAACATGAGGGTGACAAGATCTTGCTGCCGTAAGGACATTTAATCTTGGGCTGTTTCCTGGCACCTGTAAATGGCAGATGTGAAGTAGCCAAAGAGTGGTTTAGCCAAGCAGCTTGCAATCCAGTCGCGGGCGCAGCTTTTGGAGCCCGACAACACATTGACTTGACCCTTGGCCATTGCCGCCAGGGGAGTGCAAGCTCCTACATGCTGTCCTCACCTCAGTTAAGCGTGGGACTGTGTGGCCTCCCTTTGCTCTTTTGCTCTTCTGCTCTTTTGCTCTTTTGCTCTTGTCAATGGCTCGCACCCCTGAACAATTGACACAACGGCACGCATATCAAAGTAACAGCTCGACGATCCATGGCGCACCCACTGTTGCATCTTTCCCGGACGTGCCCAGATCGTTGCAGGTATGACATGCGTCGGGGGGCGAGGATTCGTTTGAAGCACACTTCTGGCAAACGCTGGCAAGCGCTGCCAGCATTTGGTCCGCACTCGCTCATGTCAGCCGTCCTGAGATGCTTTCGCAAGGAAAACGCAGGCGTGTCTCAAGGTCGCCTCAACAGCGAAACAGAAACCAAGCAATCAAGCTGATTTGGAAGTGTATTGCATACAGGCACATGCCGGGTCTGTATGCCTGCCTTTGGCCATCAAACCTTTGAGATGGACTTAGGCTTTCCAAGCAGCGCAAACCTTTTTTTGGTCCGCAATCCATGGAAGGGCTTTTTGAAACACAACGCATGTGGGCTTGCCGTTTTGTGCCTGGCCCCTTTCGAGTTTCTAGGTGTAACTATCCCATTCCCAGTGACATGGCAGGCCTGGAGGGCATTTGGATCAGTCCTCTTGGATCCCCCGCCATGCCATGGCAACCTGGGAGAGAGGCTAGCCCGTTGACCCGTTTCGCCCTTGCAAAGCTCCCCCGCGCCCAGGTCCCAGGAGCTACCGAAAGCGCAAAAAGAGGAGTGAGCCGGGGGAGGGGAGCCGTGAACGGCTCCCCATGAAAATGTTTTTGTGAGGCGACGTACGTTTTTGACAGGGCGGCTTGAAGAGAAAAACTATTTTTAGGGGTCCCTATTTTGACGCATACCCGTGTCTGTTCTATTGCACCCTAAAATTGCCCCCGCCCGGAGGTTGCTCATTGTATTCATTTGCCCAGGTGCATCTCCGAGGAAATTCTGGTTGAACTTCACTTCCATGTGAGGAGCCACATGGTTGCCCTCCCCTCTTCCAGGAAAGCTTGAGACAAGGGAGCATCACAAACCGCTTTTCCCAAGAAAGTGCACTGGGATGGAAAGCGGGGGGGAAACTTTGGTATCTTTTGGGGTCGCATCATTGTGCCCGCAGTCCTCCAACGTGAGCTACATGCCTCCCTTGGAGCCGAGGCAAGGTTTAGCCATGGTTTCGGGCGGGTTGTGCCACGTGGCAGTTGTGTGTGTGTGTGTGTGGGTACTCTTTCATTTTTTCCATCGGAAACCAAAGCGAACACCACAATTTGTTGGGGTCCCCCCATGTTGTCACACCCGCAGTTGGCCGAACAGCAAGACCCTTGTTGCACCATCGTTGCAGCTCCCTGATTGGTAAGGCTCGCCCATGCAAGCCAAACAAGACCGTTCGAAGAGAGCAGGTAGGTGCCGCATCTATGGTTTGACAAAGCGATCAGATGGGCTTTTGATGTGGTGATGAGGCCAATGTCGTACAACAGCGATTGACTCCCCGTGTGAACCTCCAGAATCCGGGCCTGTGGGTGCTTCAAGGACATGTTGCTTCGGTGTTTTTCGTTCAGGGGGGGGAATCCAGTGTCTGTTTTGATGGTGAGTTTGGGATGCACGTGCAGGGCAAAGATCCATCAAGCTAGGGGGTTTCGAGATGTGCCAATTTTCTCTTCTAGGTCCCCCAGTCGTGCTTTTTTGCATTTTTTTGGGGAGGGTTCCCCTACTAAAATAGACTACAGATCAAAGGTGGTACCCTTTTTCGAACCTCTCTGCTGGAGCACCTAGTCTTGCCAAAGGCCGTGCGTCACCATGTGCTTTTGCGACGGACCCGTGGGCGTTTTTCGTTGGGTGCGAAGGCCTTGGACCCAATCGCCAGGCGACGCGTGGATCCTTCGACGATGGAGGCGCGACATCTCTTTCCTCAAGCGCCGTGGTTGTGGACATGGGGTGTGGGGGTGTGGGGCCAATTTCTGCAGGTTGGCGGGGATGTGATTTTAACATGCAAACAATCCCCGTTGAAGTGGTCTGGTGGTCAGGTGGTCATGGGAACGGTTGGCAATGTTTGGTACCGCAAGGGGCATAGACGGAAAGACGGTGCAGCCCACTTCTTCAGTTTTGCCAGAGAAGATGGGAGCCATTTCACTTGAACAGCCAGAGCTTCGACCACATGGACACATGAATATAGAAGGTTGGGCAGGGCGCGAGGTTATTTGAGGCTTGGGGCAACGTTGCAACTTCACTGAGCAGGACCTTCCAGACACGACTGGTTCTTTGGTACAAGTGTTTGACACTTGGTGGAAGCGTATCCGGCAAACATGTGGTTGTGGCCTACCGCCCATGCATTTTGGGCGGTAGATCAAGTCCAGGCATGTTTGTTTGGGCGGTGCCCATGTGCCGCAACTCACGCGGTAGCGCTATTTTTTCAAAGCCAACCACCAGCCTTTTGATTGGGATCCCACGTTCTTTACAACACCTTCCAAGTTGGGCGTGATTGGGCGAACCATGTCCACATGGCTAAGATTTTTAACGAGGGGATACCTTCCCAAATGATTGGATATGAATCCCCCCAGCTACATAATGTTTACCAGTGGGTGCCCAAATTCAATTTTTCCATGTTTTTTTTTCTTTTCTTTTTCTTTGTGGTTTGTGGCTGGCTTGGGTTGTGTGGTGCGCGGTGTGGGGTTGGTGGGAAATCTTGGACGCCAGGCTGCCGGCGCCAGATCGCTGACGCGGAGGTTCCAAAAGCTACGCCTAGCACTGCCCTGAGTGGGGAGGGGGGGTTGCAACCTACTCAGTGGCTTGGTTGACACACAACTTGGTTTGTATTCCAAAGCGAAACCAACCATTCTAGGGGACACCGATTTTGACAAGCACCCAAATACTCCCCAAGTCCCCATGGCAGGGCAGGAACAGGGGGGAAGGGGTTTCAGGGAGGCGCCGCGCAGTTTACGTGCATCAATGAGGACCTTCTCAAATTGTCACAGGGTCCCAAAAGTCATACCCCAAGCTCAAGTTGTTGTTGCCCCATTCTTCGACGGCCTTGAAGTCGCTTTTGCAGGCGATGATTGAAACCTTTCGGAATCTTTCGGAAGCCCAAGGGCAACATTGCGAGATCATGCAGTGCTCATCGCATTTTTGGGAAATGCAACGATCAACTGTGTGGTTGTCCAGCATTTTGCCCAACGGAAGGAGGGGCTGCGGGCACCAATCGGCTTCTTGTCTCGACATGTGACTGGGGTGAGGTGCGCTACCCCCAAACCACCCCCCAAAAGACAAAATGGAGAAATTTACAGCCCCTATGATAGCCACTATTTTCAAGGTTCCATATCCAATAGTTTTCTTGGGAAGTGGTTTGGGGTGGACGCCATCTTCTAGTTACATTCTGGCTCCATCGAGTGGAACCTCGTCAGTCGCCTTCAGATCGTCGCCATGGCCATGTTCACTGTCTCTCCCTGCACCCTTGAGCATTGGTTCCAGGCGCGGGTAGGCGAAATGGATGAAAAGCCTCGCCGAAGCAAACCACGAAAGGGGGTTATTGCAACAGTGGCAGTTTCAACAAATTGAACTGGAAGAACTCACTTGCCCAAAGCCGACCTTACCTTTTAGTTTCTCCTTTTTGGTCCATTTTTCGTCGTGGTCCCAAAAGGTTCACCTTGTTCTTTCCAGGTTTCTAAGGGGCAACTGGGAGAAGGAGCCTCGAAGGGGTGGTACCTTTTCTGATGGGAGAAGGAGCCTCAAAGGGGTTTGGGGCCCCTTTACCTCCAACAGTATCTTGAATCGCCCCACCCCCTCACCACCCAACCCCACCCACCCCACCCCACCCCACCCAGGAGGTGCCGTTGCTGCTCTCGGACCAGGGCTGGGATCTCACAGCTCGGGCGGGCGCCCACAGCCTGCACCACGCCACGTGCCCTTGGGGCGGTCGCCTGCTGAAGGTCAAGGCTGGCTCTGTGCCCTCGGAAGGAATTGTTCGGCCGGAGGCGGGGCTTTCTGTAACCAGGGACCAGTAGTGCCTTTTACCGTTTCTTTTTTGGGGGAAGGTCCCCCTACTAAAATAGACTACAGAAAAAGGGGTACCCTTATTCTAACCTCTCTACTGGAAGACCTAGGGTTTGGTTTTCCCTTTTTGGTCTGTTTGTAGTCGAGGCCCGAAAAAGGTGAACCTTGTATTTCCGGGTCCCTAAGGGGCGAGTGAGACCGGATTCTCCGGTTTTTTTGGGTCAAGCAACAGCTTCGAGGATTTCAACCATGTGTGGCGCTCAGCTCGACTGTCCGAGTTGACTTTTCCAGCATGGCTGAACTTGGGGAAAGGGGAGCAAAGCCAAGTTGTTGGGTCCACTTCCCAAGCCAC